CACAGAGAGAAAGAGAGAGAGAGAGAGAGAGAGAGAGAGAGAGAAAGAGAGAGAGAGAGAGAGAGACACTCACACACACACAAGCTTCAGAGTCAGAGGAATACACAGTACATTGTATTTTTTTTTTCAGTATGTTGAAGCTCTTCAGAGAACATTAATTTCATTTTTTTTTTGGTAAGCTGTAGATCTATAAGAATTATAAGATTCTTGCATCTTCACTGATGGTAGGAAAGAGAGCTCGATTTTTCTTTTTCTCTCTTTTATTTTGAACACGTGCATTGCATCATATTTTGTACAGTTCCTCTCATACCCTTTATCCAGTGGAATTATATGATACATGCATAACAATTGATATAGATCTAGGCTATAATATAGTAGGCTTAAATGGGCAGCTGAGTACGATAACGGCCATATTTCGCCAGGAAGCATTTGAATCAGGCAAAGGAAAAGAAGAATAAGATATTATATAAGGAGAAGGAGTGGACCACACCAGAGCTCCCCACTCCCTTTCTCCTTTACACCCAAAGACAAGAAGAAGAATCCCTTTCCAATATAGCCTAGGCCTACACAACAATATTAATAAACACACGGGAACAAATATAATAAGAAAACTAACAATAACAAACGTCATAAACAGCTGTTGGCCTTCACAATAACCGCTTATTTTAGACCGCCGGCTCATTTTATCAGCTACCTTTGCACACACGTATCTCTACGTAACTAAGGAGAGCGTCCCTCCCCGCTCTGTGTGAGAGAGTGTACTTGAACTTGGACGCGTGTTCCCTTCAAGCAAACCCTTTCGCAGTCCCACCAACAAACGACAAACCAACCAACCTGAGCTCAAGCTCAGCAGTTTTTCGTCATGCCCTCTTTTTTTTTTCTTCTTTTACCCTCTTTCAAGGCTCAAGCAGCAGCTGCCACTTTCGGCTCGGTGGGCCCGGGATCGAGCATGCTCAACAAAACGTCCCAAATTATAGCCGCTTTCGATAGCTTAAGAGGTGGTTGTGACTTAAAACAAAGCAATATGGAAACCATACAGTCAAACTGTAAGTCCTGAAGTCATGTTCCCATCATAAGCCTCATTATTAACGCAATAATGAACCATTGTTGTCAAATACTTCTAGCGGAAACAGTTCTCTATGATGTCATCTCGCGGGAAATACGATTTCGCGCCAAACTCGCGCTTGCTTTGTTACCCAGACAGCATCTGTGTCAAACTTTGATGTCACGGGAACCTGGATTGGGCACGAGAAAATCCTTGTGCAACTGATCGAAAATATCATTCATCGATCTTCCAGGCACAGTGGAAAGAACTCATCTGTGATTAAACTACCTTATTTCATGGATATTTCTTCAACTTTCTTCGATAAAGTCATCTGAAAAGACAAATTTTGCAGATCAGTGATAACGGAAGTGGTCAACATCTGACGCCGACAGCCGAATACGCTGGCAGTGGCAAGTGTTGCAGACCGTGCACATTTATCATCTCTTTTTCTCGCCGATATGCCTAGGAAACAAACATTAGTTGCAAGGCGTGATCTTCCCATATTTGTCAAACAGGAACCGTCGGACATAGTTTCAAGTTCTAAGCAGTTGTTGAATTTACCGAGTATTTATCCTCGCCAGCCGTCACAGACAAGCACCACAACAAAGACAGCCGACTTTTCCGGCTATGTCAATACCGATATCAAATCAGAAGTTGGAGAAATAACACCACATAATCAGTCATTTTCAGGATTTCAGTTGGTTGAAGACTTGGAAAAACCGCAGGTAAGGATATTATGTGAAATAATGCAACGTTCATTTATTTTAGTGTTTTTCTTTCAGGACGAATGAATGAGGTTAGCCCCGCCCACTTTCTTCAGCCCAACATCAGTTCAGTAAAAGTTGACCCGAGTCCAAGTAAAGCAAAATAAACCAGACTGTTGACCAAAGAGCTAGATTCTAAATCTAATCTAGATCTAGTCTTGGGCATTTTATGCATATTGTATTGTTAGATTCGGTCGTCGTTTATGCTATTTATTCTTCACTCGGCTTTTTTATGCAGCCTGCTTCTTTCATTCAGGATTTGTCCTCGATTCTTTACAAACTGCAGCTGCTTGACCTGGGGAAAATTCCGCTGCAGTTGAAGCGTGGGTACGCCCTCCGTTAGGTCAATAACTGAATTGTTGCACCACAACCATGTGGTAAATAACCTTCCAACAACCCATAGTTAAAGATTTGACTTTTAGAGATCTATAGCAACCTTTTTCCTAATATCTATGAATTTACATTTATTCTTTGGGAAAAGCGAATTACAGAAATGTGAGGGTCGGGGGCTTCATCGTTGGCAAGTCCTGATTGAATGGGAAGAATGTTGTGACATTCATTCACTTTCCTCTGTCTCGACTGAGTTTTCCTTAAATCAGTAGGCCTAGGCATACGTAGGCATTTGTTAATGGGTAGGCCTACAACTATTCAATAAGTAGCTCTATACTGGGATTGACTCTATCCTTCCTTTCAGTTTTAGCCTGGTGACATGGTCGCCATCAATGGTTTCAATGGGATGTGAATAGGCTCTCTTCCTACAGTTTGTCTTACTTCCCGCATGTTGGATAGGCTAAGGTTAGATCTAGGCCTCTAGAGTTAAGAGGCTCAAGAGGTTATGATGGCAATGCCTTAAAAGATCATGCATTTTTGCAGTTCAGGTCAGGCTATGATTTTTAAACTTTAAAGTAGCTCACCTTTCCTAAAGCTGACAGATACAGCACATTCAGCATGCCATGATGATACATTTCACCGTCTGCCTACCTACTGTAGGCTGTCAACCTTATTATTATTGTCTAACAGACGCTTTGTACCTCTTTATTTAGGCTATGTTAATTACTAAAGAAGGTTGATTAACGAACTTAAACAACTCATTTGAATGGGTATCTAGATCTAGATCTAGAGTTAGTTTTGCTGTGAGGGGGTCAAAATGAGCGAGAAGAATCCCACTTCTACATTTCTCACAACAGAGAGGGTTCTTTCAAATTCAAGGGCTCTCATAGCAAGTTTTAGTATAATTACGCAGACTTGATCAACTCCCAAATAGAATGGAAATTTCTCAATTCAAGTGTTGAACTTAAACTTTAAGTTAAAGGTTTCCTGCCTAAAAACGAATAGATCTAATCTAGATCTAGATTCTAGGGGACTTAGGCTAAGATACCATGAAGTAGGCCTAAGTTTCAGATAAGATAGAATAGGATCTGATTTCCACATGGGCAGTATTTCACACATCTGTCACTGATAGCACAAAAAAAAGGCAAGTGGAGTAGGCCCCAATGCAGAACTCATAGCCTATGATTTGTTGGTAACAATGTTGTGTTTGTGCTATATTATTTAGGTGTACACCGCACCTCAAGCTCAAGTGCCTTTCTGTTACTAAGTAACTGTAAGTGTACGTTTAAGCTCATGGTGGTCCTGGTCCGGTAGACTAGGCTTATGCTTACCCTCACTCTTTCTGCTTTCAAGTCTTTGTCCAGATTGTGAAGTGTAGGCTGTAGGCATTTTTTTAGCAGTGGATGGTTGGCTGGTGCTCTGGTGTGGTTTGCTCCTCACCTATCAAATATCTGTCGTCCTCATCTCCCCTCTTTCTTTTTTGTGTATGTTACTCTCTTGTGACACGTAATCTATTCTTCGGCTCTTATATTTGACCTTTTGTGTTGCAAATGCCGTAAAACTTACTAAAACTAAAAGACTTTTAGCACCTGGTAGGGGATGTATTGTCGCTTGTGGTTATTTTATGCCTATTATGTCCAGTCGAAGGGCGATTAGTTTTTTTCTTTCCTAGATTTTATTTACAAGCCCAACAAGGTACGGTCTCGGGGTAGGGATTGGTCTAGTATAGCTGGATATATTTATGGTAGCGTCAATTGCCACAGAGTGACGCGGTGGCAATTGACAAAAATTGACATTTTTGTCAATTGCCACAGAGTGAAGCGGTGTCAAGTCTGAAAACAACACTATCTTTAGCATTATACATAATGATAATGTGTGTCTAATGGGTCAATTTGTTCTCAACTACTTTCCCTACACTTTGGACTTGGTGTAGAAAGGTGTAGAACCAACACAAGCAATTCTAGAAGTAGAATGTCACAAACGCAGAAATTCACGATATATCGGGGAACATAAATGGGGGGACGGGGGTCAGGAAAAGACACACACACACACACAGAGGGCAGAGGGACAGAGAGGCGAACGCACAACACAGAGCACTCAAGCACAATTAGCTAGATCTACACACCAACGCAAAAGAGCTCCAATTTACTCGGTGGCGATTGACAAAGAGGTGGCAATTGACACTACCTATATTTATATACAGTCGAACCTGTCTAAGACGGAATCGAAAGGGAGCCAGAAAAAAGTTCCGTCTTAGACAAGGGAATTTATGGGGAGATGGAAGGGGGGGGGGGGTCAAAGGCCCAGCCGGTGGGATCAAGGATCCCTTGTCCATTTGGCAAGCAGGGATCAAAACTTCAGACCTCTCAATTGCTATCCTGTCTGATAATGACATGTGTCAGTCTTACTTATCCAATTACCACCAGCGCTTGCCTTTCGTAGGACCGCTCTTTGACCTATTAAAAAACAGAAACGTTTGAACATCTCCTTTGTTTCCACCGTTAGCCCCACCCTCCAGTGTAACAAGCACAGTCGACCTATGCCACCCCTCATTGCCATCATGTAACAACGATTCGAGGAACTCTTTTCTCGCCTGGCCGTACGATCAGGGCGGCAGGCATTGGTCAATCTGATTTCACACCTCTGGCTTCTGGCTACCCAGGAAAATTTCCGTAGTGGCTCGCTACTCGAGCACTCTCATGAGTAGTCATGAGATTTTACACTCGCACTACCCTGAGCATCTGCATCGCTCAGGGCTCACATGATGGGGTAACATCTAGGCGCCCCTAAATTAGGGCGCCTTGGGAAACATCTCTATATCCATATTTCATCCCTACTCCCCTTCCTCACCCAGCGGCATGGCCATGGCGTAAGTTTAGGGAGCCGACGGAACCAAGCAGATTTTTGTTTCCATTTTCACGTTGGACAGGTTTCCATTTTATACAAGTAATTAAAGAGGAATATATCAAGGGGGGAGCGTGCAGGTTTGACTGTAGTATGAGAAAAAAATCATGGACCCTCATCATTAGTGTGAGCGCTGTCAATGTGAAAATAAATAAAAAATTGTCTTAGTTTTTCTTTTAAAATTAAAGCCATTTTGACAGATTACATTTATGTCTGACTCTTCCATTTTGTTTTCACAAATTTATCAACAATGCAAACTATTCAACCCTTTTGAATCAATAGGGAGGAATTCCGTATCGAGCGACCACTATGAAACAGTCGGATTTAGGGTTCTTTGGGGTAAGGGTAGGAGTAAGCGTTAGGGGTAGGGTTAGGTCTCTTCTTTATTGTATTTGTTGGGGTGGTTGCTCGTTATGGAAGTCCTTCTAGTCAATGCATTTTGCATGCATTCGCCTCGTACATCAAGATATGGGGAATTATACAATTCTGTGACGTACCAGGTACTTATGGTGTTAAAGGGGTCAATGAAAGGTTACACTATATTCATTTTAGGAGAATCTGTGGATTGAGTGGTAAATTTTTTATGTTGTATCAGCCACAAAACAGTGAGTGTTTAGCAGGTGCTCTGGTGTGGTTTGCTCCTTCTTTCCTATAAAAAAATCTATCGTCTCTATCTCGTTTGTTACTCTCTTGTAACATCTCTATTCTTCGGCACTTTTATATGATCTTATTGTGTTGCAAGTGCTGTAAAACTCTTACTAAAACTAAAAAAAGACGCAAAACATTTCTTTTTTGAAATGTGAAACATGGCCTATTTCCTCTGTTTGCTGTACGTCAGAGCTCAGTGTTTAAAAAAGGGGGGAAAAAACTCATGAATTTTCCATAACTACATTCTGGAAGCCTATTCCTCCACCCACATTATTGTCATCTCCTGAAGTATGTTATACTAGGGCTACATGGGGTTTTATTGTGGTAGGCCTCCAGTCGAAATTGTTCAAGAGAGCCATCCTTATTTGAGGAGAGAAAAGGTCTTAGAAAGGTGGACGTATTGCTATTGTCAGCATAATATAGAGGGGGAGAAAAAAAGGCAGAGTGGGACATGGTCATTCGTATGTGATTGTTCTGGGACAGGTAGCAGTTATATGGTTCGACTGGTTTAGTATTTCTTACTTTCTTCCCATGCTGGATAAAATATTATGAGGTTTTTAAAGAGATGTGTGGCCTATTTTGTTTATGATCCCTTTCTTTTTGCTACTTTGCTTTACTTTTCCAACCCAACGGCCATCTGGGGTCTAGCCCTTCAGCCTGTATTTTTGCGACTTCAGATTTTGATAATGATGATGTTAGTGTTTGCTTTCATTTTCCTCTATAAAATATAATTTGGGGGACATGTTGGGCCGGTCATGATGATTTCCGTTCAAAGCTATTCAGCAGGCTGTTAATGAGTGGTGTTACATTGTTTGCTCCTTTGTCTTTAATTTTCAGTGTTGGTAACTTTATAATTTACTTCCTGGGGAAACGTCACAGCTGTTGCCACTGATAGTACACTTGACTTCAACCTTTCATCGTTTTGAGTGTTAGATACGCGTGGACTTTTTTACAAACACACACACACACACACACCAACACCAGCTCCGTAAGCACTTACTTTTCTAAGCTTTTCACCTTTTTCAGTCTGTCTCATTCTCATTGTACAGCTTACACCATGGCTTTTGTGAAATACCGTCAGAACTGTTGGTATAAGTGGGTGGTTGGAGGGAGATCAATAGATCCTGTTTCTTTTCTTTCCCTTTGTTGTTTCTGTCTATCCTGCTTTTCATATGCTCTAAATTATTGATGTTTGTGTGTGTGCAACTCATTACTCAAGCAAATAATGTGGGGCATTTACCCTTATATGCCCCTAATGGAATAATAAAGTAAGTCAACAGCTGTTTTGGAAATGAATGTGGCAGGGGTGGGGGTGGAGGGTAACACTGATCGGGCTACTAACTTTTTTAAACTTTCCCTTTATTTTTTTTGTCTTCCTCTTTCCCAGCTGAGAATGCCTGGTATTGTCACCCATTGTTTTTTTCTTTACTCAAACACGTTTTTCCGAAAACACTCTTGTTCAATGAGCATTCCTCTTTGTCTCTGTGTGGTTGGTAGATGCTCTGATGCGGTTTGCTCCTGCTTTCCTATCCAATCATCTATCGTCCTTATCTCTCATGTTTTTGTCGTTGTTATTCTCTCTTGTAATACCCATCTTCAACACTTATCGAATGGCCTAATTGTGTTGCAAGTGCCGTAAAACTTATGCAAAAGAAAAATATCATTGTCTTCAGCTGTACACGTCTCTCTGTGTTGTGTTTGGTGTAGGTGAAGAGGAGACTGGAGCTGGACAATGAGATCACTGTGGAGGGCTTTAAGACACCCAAGCCTTGCAAGAGGAGAAAAAGTCTGGCAGATTCTCCCAGAGCTAGAGGTAATGCTCGGGTTTTGCTTCCATTCTCACATTGACTGCTTAATGTAAGACTCCACCATACACCATTGTGAAAATGAAATATGACAAGAGTCTAACGCTGAGCAGTGGATGTGTTGATAGGTCCTGCATTCTTTACTTTGTGATTTGCGCGTGAAAATCACCCAATAGTTTTTTTTTCTTTGTCATTTTAATCAAGTATCCCTCGGCTGTATACTGGGAGGGGTGGGTGGTTGGTGAGGTGGGTACTCTGATGTTGTTTGCCCATTCTTTCCTGCCAAACATCTATTGTCCTTATTTCTCCTCCTTTTTTGTGTTTGTTACTCTCTTGTAACCCCTCTAATATTCAGTAGGCCTACTTATATGACCTAATTTTGTGTTTGGAATGCTGTGTCCACTTCTGAACCAGGTTCGCCATGAACAGCCGCGTCAAAGCAATTTTCTTTTTTATGGTTTAAAATGTGTCGATTGCTGTCTTTTACTTTTAAGATTTACAATAATTTTACTTGATGGCCGGAAGCCACTTCATTTGGTTTATATTCCCCTCTCTTCTTTCAAAGAGTTATTAGTCTTATTTATCAATTTCTGGTAAAATGTGTGTTACTGGACTGACTTGTGTGCTACAGCTCAACAATATTTTGTTTTTGTTTACTAAGTAAAAATATTCACATACTAAATCTATACCATCAATTTTGTTTCTTCTCAGCTCTCAATAAAGTGAGTTTTTGTAAGTGTCACACTAGTCTCATTTGCAAGTTTCTGTAAGCATGTGGATTATCAATCTTGTTTCTTTTCAGGAATGCGATCTCCACTTGAGAAGACCCGGTATGACACGTCATTGGGCTTGCTGACAAAGAAATTTGTTGGCCTCCTGCGGAGTGCTCCAGATGGGGTATGTGTTGCAGTTGTTTGTTTTTTTCAATGATACAGCCTATTTTTTTGGAAGTTTTTGGTATCATGTTTCATTTAAAGAGCCGCATCAGTTTTTACTAAATACTCCTTTCATTATTCTGTAGTGGTCTTTTTTACACAGATTCTTTGTCTCCTCTGTTAGAGCCCAATAGTCCTGGAATTTATTTATGTGTGTGTGATATGGTTTCAAGTTCAGGGATTAAAGGCCAGGATCTGGGCCTGTCATGAATTTCATGAAAGAAGAGGTAGTGAGGTGGCATTTTTTTGTTGTTGAAAATTAAAGTTGTACCCATCCTTGTACCTCATTGAACCACAATTCATGTTTTCAGTGGGTGGTTGGCGGGTGCTCTTGGTGTGGTTTGCTGCTTTTTTCCTAATAAACGTCTGCTGTCTTTATGTCTCCTCCTTTTTTGTGTATGTTACTCTCTTGTAACATTTATTCTTTGACACTTATACGGCCGTATTGTGTTGCAAGTGCCGTAAAACTCTAACTTAAACTAAAAATGCATGTTTTCAGCTGTGATAAGTATGTTTTCAAGTTCACTGTTAGTGGTTCTTCAGGAAAGCTATTTTTAAAAAAAAGAGACCTATCATTGTAATTTTCTTGTTTCTCTTTCAGGTTGTAGATCTGAACAAAGCCTCTGAAGTTCTGGAGGTGCAGAAAAGAAGAATTTACGACATCACAAATGTCTTAGAGGGAATCAATCTGATCCAGAAGAAGTCGAAAAATAATATACAATGGAGGTAGGCATACTGCTTTTGCACATACACATGTAGGCATATATTCACTACACACACTCATACGCACAACGCACATCCTCACACACACATACACACTCATACACACACACATACACACACAGTGGTGTCCACTGAAGAGCAACCTGACCTTGTGATATAGAATTTTCCTATAAATATACCATTTTAACAACAGCAGCCTTAGTTAGTTGCTATAAATTGTCGCACACAAAATGTTTCTGGCTATTCAGAATCAAGCTAGCTTACAATTTCAGTGTGCATGCATCCCCTTTTCTAGCGCCTTCTCACCATAGCACCTTCCCAGGCTAAAGATAACACTTTGCTGAGTTCAGGAGCTCAGTTCATGCACACCATCTCGCCGAGAGTCACCTTACTTCAAGAGTTTACCAGAAAGGGGGAAAGTCTTGATCACTATGTAACATTACCATCCTGCAATCAAGCATTGGCTCACTTGAAAGGACAAGGTCCGGTCAAACCTCTGCTGCTGATGCTGTCTTTTCAACAAAACAGCAGATTAATTTCTCACTTCAACATATATTTGTGCATTCCCGTCTGCTCAATTCTTTACTGGAATCTGTGATGCAAGGGGTACTCTTTGCTGTTGCACTCAGAAGACAAGTTCGATTCCAGAGTATCGAAGATTTTTACAGAATGTTTATATATTTGCAGGATGGAATGCTTTATATCACTCAATCCAGGGTGGCACAATGGAAGCAGCCTGCCTCCTATATTATCTAAATTGTGGTAATGGGAGTGTACAAACTTTTGCAATTGCAATTAGAATAATAGATTTTTGTACCAAAAAAACCGAAATGAAATAAAAACAAAACCAAAAAAAAAAGCATGAATATATATGCTTTTGTCTGTCCCAGGGGTGCTGCCAACTCATTCACGTCGTCGGGCGAGCCCTCTGTCCCTCAGGTCACACAGATCAGCACGGCCAGTGTGGATTTGCACTCAGGTAACAGCACTGTCCTCAGAGACATCATTTTTGTTTCACCTAAAAATTTGTGCACGGTTGTTGCAGGAGTGCCTGGTTGTCGATGTTTTGGGTTAAACATTGGCAAGAGATTTACGGCACTTACAACTGTACGGTCATATGAGAGTAGTTTCACTTTGTTCACTAACAAAAATGATCCTGGGTGAGTGTAAAGACGTAGAACTGTTGTGGGCTTGTCTTTATTTTGACTTAGCATTGGAAGGGGGGGAGAGAGAGAGAGAGAGAGAGAGAGAGGTTTTTTTTTTTGGGGGGGGGGGGGGGATTTTTTCCCCCCTCACATCTGTAAACATTGTGTCAAGTTGTCAGTGCAATGTGCATGACTCACATGTACTTGTTTGTAAAGGATATTAACCTCTTTTTTGTCAGGTGTTTTTCAAATGATTTCATATGAAGGTATATGATTATTTTTTTTATTTTTTTTGTTTCCCATCAGATATGGCCGATTTGAGATCAAAAGAAGGTGTTCTGGACAAGTTAATAGCCAACTGCACGCGGCAACTGCGAACGTTAACGGAGGACTCAGAGAATGCAAGATATCCTTTCAATCATTATGATTTGACGCTGTCCGCTTTACCTTATTTGAATTTGGGACTTCCTAAAGAATAAGCTTACTTTATTGCTGAGTAGAACTAGTTTTTTTCCCATTTCAAGGATTTCGATAATCCGTTGTGTTTAGAAGGTTCATGCGGGTGGTTGGAGGGTTCTGCTGGTAGGTCCTACTTCTTTACTTTCCTTCTTTGGTTTCTGTTTGTTTATTGTGTTCTTTCCTTTCACAAACCAAATGTTATCATTGTAGAATGCTTTTTTTTACATAAACTAGAAATCTCAGCCTGCATTTCTCACTGCTCATTGGACTTTTGTTTTTCCACTTCTTCCAGTGATGTGTGTAAAACAATATTTTAAAACATTTTTTCTTTTTTTCTTTTTTACTTTCTAATTAGCCTTGTTCGTCTTTTCTCAGATAAATCATAGTTGTTGTTTTTTTTTTTTTGGGGGGGGGGTTGTAGAATAGTACCTTCAAAACTTACATCTCATTCTCTTTTATGACAGCATTGTGGTAGGAAATTTTTTCATGACTTTTGCTGTTGATTGCCCTTAACTGTGTCACATTAGCGTATGTCACGTATCAAGACATTCGAGGGTTGAGTTCTCTGAGGGAGCAGACAGTGATCGCCATCAAAGCCCCACCAGAGACGAGGCTGGAGGTACCAGACCCAGACAAAGTGAGTTTATACGAAGAAGTTGATAAACCATTCTTTTTTTTTTTCCCCTCATGCTGTTGAGCCAGGTACATTTGTGTAGTCAGCATGCCTCCCATTTGTATAAGCTGTTGAAAGGTGAGAGTGTTTGATAATGCAGTTTAAAGATGAGTGGCTGAGTATGTTTGATTGTGTTGTTAAATAATGAATGCACTTTGAACACATTGTCAGTCTAAGTTGTTTTTTATATAGATGTGATTAAACATGTACATTTAAAAAGTTAAGGATCATATTTTCTTACTATTATAAGTGATGTCTTCTACTGCTTCAAAGATCCTAGTGAGAGCATGTAGATCAGTTTTCATCTATTTTTGGCACATTTTACTATTGTACCATCCTTTTTGTGAACTCGCAGAATATTCAGATCTGGCTGAAGAGTTCTCGGGGGCCAATCGACGTGTTCCTGTGTCCAGATGACCTTCCAGGGGAAGAGTCAAGTTCAGGGACATCATCGTCAGAGTCCACGGCTTCGGCCAATGATCAAGATGAGGTAGGTGACTGTTACGCTGTTGGTTGTGTGAAAAAATGTGGGAGAGGGAGGTGGCCGGAAGGGCTACGATAACGTTTTAATATCTGATACAGATAAAAGTCTATTTGATGTCTCCATTCGGAACTTTCTTGACCTACTCCGGAGGAAGCCATGACGCCATCTTTAAAAGACAGCATTATCTTTATTTTATGAAGAGAGGCATCAATTTTACTCGTAATACAAAACTTTGTTGTACCTGTATGCAGACCTGCCACTCATCCCGATATTTTGCCCCAAATCTCAACTATCCCGATTTTCCCGATTTCGATCGCCAGTATCCTGATTTTTTGTGGTTGCGTCTGTTGCGTCCGATTCTTAGAAAAAAAGATAAAAAGTTCTGCAATCTCTTTTGCTTGGAAACACCGATTGGACTTTTTATCTGCAGGAACTTGGAACGCTATTTTCTAAAGCATCTATGCCGAATCTAGATCTAGTAAATGATTAACGCACGTTATTTAAACTAAAATCGACCTAGTTTCAAACGCTCATTCGCATCACATGACATGACCTCGTACGTGTGGTGAGTAGCGCGTGTGTCGGGGACCGTGGGTTGTCGGGGTCAACAAAGTTCATTCACACCGGTCGCGTTGGTCGAGGTGTTTTTCGGGACTTAACCAGTGTGGACGGCTGGGGGGAGGGGGTGGGGATATTGTTTTGACACTTGGGCTTAAAATGCGTGCCGTGATACTGGTACTAATGAAGGGGAAAGGAATAAGAAGAAAAAAAATGAACAACCTTGGCACGATCTTTTTTTCGATGTGATGGAAGTCAAACGTTGTTAAAACGCGGGCGTTTTGCATGGATGATTAGAGTTACGTGTCAGCTATTTTCAAGACTACGAGTGTTTCATCATCACTGTGACCTTCGCTCCCCCAGTCTATCCAACTTCGACTGAGTACATATATTCTGTCTTTCAGTTTTCCCTCTATTTAGAGGCCCAAACGTGAACTTATTGCTGCAAAAGTTTTGCCTTGCATACTTGTCTCATGGGAACCAGGACACTCCCCCCCCCCGCCTTCCCCAGTGCCCTTTATGACTGATTTGCCGTTGATCCCGATTTATTTCACCTGATCCTGATTTTTTAACTCAGAAATCCTGATTTTTAGATTTCATAGAGTGGCAGGTCTGCTGTATGCATGTCTTCCTATTCTGTTACAAGTGCTGGTCAGAAATCCAAATATAAATCTGGATATCCAGTCTTGTGCCTGATTTAGATAACTAAGTTGAAAACCCAACCTGCTTTGACTTGACTTACTTTTCAATCTACTTTATCTAGATATAAATTGGGTTTCCGCCTTGCACTGCTTTCTACGTGTATCTAGCAGCGCGAACAGTTTTGGACGGGGAGGGGGCTATGGGCCTGTTGATGAGACAGAAGATCAATTCTGTGGAAATGATGTATTCACCTTTGTTCATGATCATGGCCAGTGTTTATCTCTTTTCTGGTCAGTCAGTGCAGGTTGTCTTCGGGTGGTTGGAGAACCCCACTGGTTGGTCTGGTCCTATTTTTCTCTTTTTCTTTTTCTCTATTGTACCTTCTTCACTTTTCCTAGGCACTAAATGACTGCTACTGTTTTGATGTGCTTGTCTTTCTTCAATTGAAAAAAAATGTTTAAATTGTTATTTCTTCTCCACCACCTTTGCAGGTCGACGGGTTGCTCAGCGATCTTGGCATGGACACACGGCCAGAAATACGGCCAGGTCCATCGAGTTCAGCAGATGACCGCCTCTCAGACAAATTAACCAGTTTTGAATCAATCAAGCAAGAGCTCTTTTCCGACGACTCCCTTTCAGCAGATAATGGTATGTGTTTCACTTGGCATTGACAAGTTTCTCGGTCTTCCTGCTTTGACATTGTTTGCTTTCCTCTCAGCTCGGTTTTGTTCTGACAGGCTGGGTCGAAGCCTGCCTTCTAAATGGCCAAAATTGTGTTGATGGAGGCTTTAAATACAAAAAAAAAAAGACCTTTTATATTATTGTCTCCCTGTGTCAATATAAGGTGTGGCTTTCTGATGCTCTCACAGTCCCTGCTCTCAGCTGCATTTTGCAACAGGTTTAGGTTTTTTTTCGATTGCGTTGTTCATCTCTAACATGTGCTTTTTTTTTTTTTATAGCAGCATCAACTGTGTCAGTTTTTTTCACCCTTGTGAATACTCCAAATAGCTAGCAGTCTGTTCGCTTCAGTTCTTTTTATTGCTTTTGGTTTGTTCGCTTTTTTCTTGTATTAAATTGTCAATAGTTTAAATCGTTTTAGGTGTAACGATTAGGCCCTTCACAGTGCCACAGACTTCAGTTTCCCAAGATATTTAAATTTGGATGATATAGTGGCACCTTTCGTAGGACCTACTTCTTTAGTTCACTTCCTTTGCCTGTCAGTCTTGCTGTTTCCTAGGGCTATAATATGATTGCTATTGTTCTGGTGTCCTTCACTTTCCCCCAACTTGAAGGCTAACTTGATAATTATCTCCTTTTGCAGAGTTGCTGAAGAAGGCTTTGTTAGCGGAAGAAATCTCGCCGTCTTGTGGCAGCTCCATCCTGCACAACACAACAGACCAGGACATGCCCTTCACACAAATCCAGCCAACGTTTACCTTTGATCAGGGAGACGACTACTTATTCGTCAATGAGGAAAGCTTCAGTGACCTTCTCAGTGCCTATGACTTGGGCTTATAGTGGCAAGTGTGTGTTCTTTGCCTCAGGCTTAGCCCACAGAACTGTGTAGCACAGAAACTTTTCTACTGCTGCCCTCAACAGACTTTGTTCAGAGCTCTCAACCGGTGTGCACGACGTCTCTGACAGCGGAACACGTGGGTGGGGGTGCCCATTTCACTCTCGCCCTTTTCTCAAATTCTGGAGGTACGGAATTGTCCAGGTTTTCTATCTCTCATAAAAAGTTTCTGCACCCCATCTTTGTATGTGAGATGCACTGTTCTTCCTCCTTACAATCCAGAAAGTTGAAAGTTCTACAAACCTACACCACCCGTCCCCCCTACACGAGAGGTACTTCTGCAGAAGTAGTTCTTGTGCTGGTCAAGGCCATGGCTTGGGTTTCTCCTTTCTCCACCGTGGAGATGGACACTCGTGGAAAAATACGTCAATGTGTTGGAAACTTACTTACTCACAGAGGGAATGACCAACATCTCCAGCTCAAAACTCCCGTGGAAAAACTTGTTGCAGACGACAAGCAAGTGATGGAAATGTCCTAGCTACTCTCGACATTATTAAAGAGGTCGAGTAGTAGATTTCTTTCCCCCCACAACCACCAGGACTCAGGGTTTGGATGATGGGTATTCATCTTGTGTGTATCTGATTTGTAGCGTAACATTTTACCACCCAGCCAAAAACGCAGTTGTTTCTCTCTCTTCATTTAACAACAATACCACAAGGAAAAGTAAGTTAATTTTTTTAAACTCCCCGCCTTCATTCTATTACTATCAGTGATAAAACAGGTACAAGATCATTGTAAACAGCATGCACTTATATATGCTGACATATGTATATGAAAAGTATTTTTTCCCTGATATTTTTGTCTCAATAATTCTGTCTTGTGACCAGATCAAGGGACTTGTGTCTCTATTGTAAGACGAGTCGCTTATCAGGAGTATTTGATGGCATCCGGTGGCTTATGTCACTACAAAATTCAGTTTCTGCAACAAATCTTCTTTGAACATGGGGGGCATCTTTTCACGCCATGCAGACAATAGATGGACCTTTTGTTATTATATTCTAAAAATGTCTTTTTCTCCTTATATGCCGTGAAACATGCATTGAATACTGGGGCCTTACTGCAAGACAAATGTTATGATGTGTTTTATGGGACAACAACAAAGGTTAATTGACAGACCACAAAGTTCAATTAACAGTTATTTTTATTTTTTATTTTACATCAGTATCTCTACAGGAGACACTACTATTTCCTAGTTTTTGTGAAGGTTTGGTTAATCACAAAAGAACATTTGAACATTCCATGTTGGCTTAAGACACTGTTGGTGTAAGACATTGTTGTGGTTTATTGGAGAATTTAAAATGTTTAGAGCAGGAGATGGGAACAGGAAAAAATATATTTTAAGATAAATTTTTAAAAATTTACAGCTCCTTGGAATCAATGTCTACCTTGGCAGGGTAGAGTCGAAGCCTGCCTCCTGAATTTTCTCTAGATTTTGTCAATGTAGACATTAGACATCTTACTAAAATATAGGAATAAAAAATAGAACTTTGAAGAAATGGCAGTGCTTTATATGTCCAAATTGGGGGGTGAGGGGGGTAGAGTTTTTTTTAAGGATTGGACAAGACATGCAGATTGAGCTTGCCACTTTTTGTTTGCTTTCATTAAGGTGTAATGGACTGGGACGCACTCTTTAAGAAGGGGAGGAACTTACCTTTAAAAGTACTGTAGTGTATTTTATTACCTCAGATTTGTAAATGAATAAGACTTACAAAGGTCTCTTTGCCCCTGTTGATACCCTCATCTTGCCCTAATACACCTTCGTTAAGCTTTCTTACTTATCAGGACACAGTCACCCACTTTGCCATGATACCAGAGATAGATTCTTACTGCTGTTTGGTGGAAATTTGTTATCCACATCTAGCCAATTACAAACTACCCACTGAACTTGAATTCATTTTTTTTTTCCTAAAAAAATCTTCTAAAAAAAAAGAAAATTTGAATGCTGTCTTTTGTAGAGTATGATCTGTATACTTGTTCTGATCTGTGCAGTTAACTTATAATGTTTATTTATTGATGTGAGACAGACTGAACTGATTTTTTAAAGTTTTGCTGTGTTTTCTTTGTGAAACTAATTAGCACTTTGGATGTTCTGTTTTCCCTTTTCTCATGTGTTTGTGCGTCTCCCGAAGGCCACATGAACAGGGTGACAATACTGGTGATATTCTTGTTCAGTGTGTGTGCTTTAGACCCTGTGTTGTTTATCAAGACGTGTACTCAAAGATCACACAGTGTAGATTCTTATATATCTGTACAGCAATTTTTAACTGTAAGGACCAATGGAGGATGGAGTCGATACAATGTTCAGTAGCAATGGACTTAACTTTCCTTTGCAAAGTTTTAAAAAGATTTCAATTCTAATTGATTCTGTACAGGTGTAGGGGTGTTTTTTTTTTGTGTGTGTATGTGTTCACTTTGTATTGTTTTTGTGCTTGCACCTGTCTTACCATTGAGCTCAGGAAGTGGGGGTTTGTAAGGCCAAATTGGGTTTTTGCGTACTGCACAATTTCCTTCTATTCCATTTGCCAAAGAGGCATACATTTCAATATCATGAATTTAGAGCACTTATATCTACTCCTTATCTTTATAAAAATGAAATAAGAGCTCATCTTTCTATTTTCAGAGTTTTAGCCAGTCCCAGAGTATTTGCCTTGTACTTGTGAAGACACTTTTTGTGTCAAGATTTTTAGTGTGCCCAAAGTAACTTTCTGCCTTTTTTCCCTCGCTACAACTGTGTCAAGATTGATTTACATGCTGTAAGACACAGATATATTTTTGCCAAGCATATTGTTCTTAGGTTTCGTTGAGTATAAGTTCTAATTTTTGCAAAGATCGTAAGCACTTTTACTATGGCTCAGCAGGTCAATTATAGAGCAAATGAACAATTTTGTGTAAAGTTTTGCAAAAGTATTGGTTTTTGAGATTCATTTATAAAGATCTCCCTGGGTGAATTTTTAATGAAAAGTCAGAATAAGAATTTAGCATTGTAGTGTCAGTATAGGAGAAAGTCTTTTTTGATAGAATCTGTGTACTGATAAATAATTTTCTATTTTTGTTAATTCAAAAGAAACTGTACTTGGGATCTCTTTTTACTGTGAGTTAGGTTGACGTACTAGCTGTTGGAAACGTCAACAAATGTTTTTGTATGCAGCATTGTCAATTTGTGTGTCATTGTGAAACTAGGTTTTTGTACTTTCGACTTTCTCTTGTTGTATACAGTTTGTGCACTAATCTTCCCTGACCGTTTCCGTCGATTATTTTAACTGATGGTGTTGTGAACAGAATGGCCAAGCCTCAGATTCCCCAGTCTTGTTACAGATATGTTTGATCATGGGGAATATGACCTAATACTTCATGAGGTTAACAGTTTTATGTTCTGAACAATTCATGACAAATGTGCAAAAAGTGAGCCGTGTTCAATCTTAGATTTGGATATTGTAATTGCTGCCTGAGCGTTATGAGGTGATCTGTGTTTTAGATTCAACATTCCTCTGTTTTGCTACTGTACCAGCACAAATTAAATACACACGCCCATGGAGTTGATTTGAAAACAAAGATTTGGTACAACAGATGGCAGCTTGGAAAAGTTCATATCGGTATATTATGTGTTTTGTAACCTTTGAGTTTGAAAAAATCAGGGTGTTCTGTCCAAATTGATTGAGACACCGAGTCAGCAACACAATAAATCACTGTGATGTAAAAACGGAAGAAAAAAAAGGGGTATTCACTGAAATCACTTTTCTCATTTCTCGTGCAGTAGAATCTGCCAGTGTTGGCTGTTGTGTGCATAGCACTATCGTTCTATCATGTAATGCTTTGGCTTTGCTGAGCGTCGATTTCTGGGACCACATGACATGTACACTTGTCGACACTAACACTAACACTACACTGCCGCGATTTATGTACATATAGCCCAATATTGTACTGATATGATCAATACTTATTTATTGTGCATAGAAGGAATTCAACCTTCTTGACTTTTATTTAATATCGAATGAAACAACAGATATGATCCAGGAAAACTGCTATTTTTAAAATATTTTTTTTTTGAGAAAAATTTATTTGAAATTTAAATCGCGTATTGTAAAGAACTGCCATATAATTTAAAGCAGTAAAGAAGTTATTGGTATGAACTTGTTCTATGTGATGACTGAACTGGAAGTAATTTTATTTCTTTTGCATTTTGCATGTCACCCTCAAAATTTATATATAATTTCTTTTAATTTTGATTTACCATTTGATTTCAAATTTTCTTCAGTTGATGATGGTCTGACAGTTTGTGGATTATGTCTGGTCTGGGATGTATCGGGAGATGCGACGCTAGGTAGTGTTGAATGTAGTGATGTTCAGGGGAAGCAAGTTTTGTCACATTCTTATTGCAGTGATGCCATCTAGTGCTGTCATTTGCCACCACTTTATGTGTAGGGGCATCAAGCAAAAAGAGCTGGTACTGAAAACGTGCAAGATGTTTGGGAGAGGGGGTATTATTTCAATGGCCGCACAGTTCCATTTATTAGAATTTGTGTAAAGTCTTCCCCTTCCAAGGAAGGAACTGCCAACTTTCATAAAACTTCTCAAGGTCTTAACCTCGTTTTTATTTCACTTGTTAAAGGTATGGTGTAAGTAGGGGTCTCTTTCATGGTCTCTGATGTTTCTTAACCGAGAAAAATGCAGCCTGTATCCTTCCTGTTACTACCAAATTTTTTTTCTTGCAGTCTGCAATTTGAAATTGGTTTTTATGGCGATGTGCTTCTGTTTGTCAAAAGCAACAATTGGAAAGGCCCAAGTTCAGTGACAGATTACTTGTGTTGATCTTTCTACTTATCTTATCTCTGTGGAATGTTGTCTATTTCAGGGACTATTTTTGTTTGGTGGCAGTTTGCGAATGGAATAGGGCAGTACCTCGAGTCACTTATTTATTGGTCAAGGCTTTGTATAGATAGTGTATTTTGTGTGGAGGGAAACTGTGCAGTGTGGGAATGTGCTGTTTGCAGAGGTCGTGTGTACATAGCAGCGTGTTTCCAACCCAACTTGTGAACCTGTATGATAGCAGTTTTTCGAGTTCACACCTAACAAATATTTAATCGTAACGACAATGCTGTTGGGTTTTTTTAGAATTTATTATTGATGTGTTTTGTGTTGATGCTGAGTGTAGTTTTCCCCTCCAGTGCGTTTGCTTTAGTAATGTTTTAGAGGAATGTCACGTAAAATCCTTTGTAGTCCCACACTTAGCTTCTGTAAGAGTTGAGGGTCAGCTCAGGGTGGCATTTTTGTGTCTGTGGTGTGGTGATCAGATTAGGCTCTTCGCCATTGCACACAGAAGAAGACCCGAGCTCGGTTATTCTGTATTTATTTTTGTTCGGGGTATTTTATATATCTCGGAATAGCTGCCCTGTGGCGCGCTCACATGACTGGGTGCAGTTGTGAGCACCGTAAAAAAATTATTTTACCAAATTGAAAACTGAACCGCAGCACTTCAGATGGAGGTGTAGGGAGACAAAGGTTTTTGTACTGTGGCTTTTCTTGTTGCTTGCAGCATGCTGGTCAGCTTGTTTCTGTGTTCACTTTAGTTTCCATTTGTTGAGCGAGCTGACAAAATTACTTACTCCTCGTATTCGAGCCCTATGGAAATAGATACATCACGCTTATAGGTGAAGTTTTTACAAATTTAATAAGAGGCATGTTATATTTAAAGAATATATGCAATCAATTGAAAATCTACAACTTATACCCTAGTGTCGATTTTTGGCCAATATCTCCATTTGTGGATTGTGGGAAGTAACTCATTTTGTCAGCACGCCTCGCATTTTTGTTTTTTAGCTTTCATTATTGTAGTACTGATTTTGTTGATGGTTTTGTTATAGCAATGCTCTGATACGCATTTCACTCCACAAAGTGTTCCCTGAAGTAATTTTTTCCTTTGCATTTATAGCTCAGAAGTCTGTTCAGGTCATCAAAGAATATTATATCAAGTTTAAAGATGTGCTTTGAAGAAAAGAGTGGAAGCAAGAGACCGATGCTGAATTAGTTTTTCATTCAGCAGAACATCTTGTTGTTGGCTTTCCTCTTCATGATGCCACATATTGCTCAACATCAGGAGATAGTTTGGTCATCTGGAATTGGCTTTGAGCTCTTAATTTTTAAATTTTTTTTCTTCCTTAAGATGCCATGTTATTATTTACGCACTTTATTATTATATTGAAGTGACAATTTTTTAGTTCGTTGCATGCTGTGGCTTGTGTTCTGTCTTTTGCCCTGGCTGCTTCGGCTCCTCACCGTTCTGTGTTTGTGAGGCATCGTGGAGAAATAAGGCGCTCGTCAAGATAATGAAATTGAAGATAAAAGGCATTTTTCCATCAGTTTGGATAATCAAACTTTTGCTTTCTGCTTAATATCTTTTACGTCCAAAATATAAATCACAATTCAGTGTGGATTTTGCTGGAAAAATGTTTAGGGGTACAAAGAATATAAATTTTCAGTTTTCAAGGACTCTCAGGCTAAAGATATCACCAAATTTTGACGGCCATTTTCTCGTTAATTTTACCTCTGAAACCAGGTGACCCCCCCACCCCCTTCAATTGCAAATATTCTATTGCTTCTATTCTCAATAACTCAAGATGGCCCAAAATTGACAAGCGCCTGATTCCACTGTGCCGTTTCACATTTCATCTTGTCGTACGTCACGTCATCTGTGCCTTCATCACCGCATGTGTTCACTGCTGCTGTTTTTGTGCTCAGGTCAAACCACAGAAGAAAAGAAAAAAACCCAACCCAATGCACCTTGAGAGTATGTCCTTTCCTTCTCCCTACTCCCAATTTTTTTTCAAGACTTATTGGGGGGGTGGGGGGGTGAGATTGTTTATAATTTTACTGCTTGTTACACCCTGTTTTCGTAGAGCTTTATTTTGTATGTATGTATGTGAGATGGGGCGGGGAT